ACTCAACAACGCATCACACCAGTTTCCTTGGTTGATTAGATGGTTGAAGAGAGTTGCGTAAATCGTGGACTAAAAAATGACTAAGCAGATATAACAAATGAAATCCAATACGAAAGCAGAACAAATGAAATAGAATCTGCATGGTACAAACATACAGTGCATTTATGGCCTGGAGGCAACAAAGCTATTGCACTTCGAGCCATTTCGATTACTTCTTCGCTGTGCCGATGATTGTTGAGATATCGTAATGCCTATAAGATCACAAAGCAAACGTTCCGCATTTCAACAATGAGTATAATCATCGCTTACAACGACATAATAATCTCCCAGATTGATTTCCTCAGCCTTTTTTTCGAATGACGACAATGCTAAAAGGAGTGCTTCGTTGCAGTCGGTCACTCCCCGAGCAGCAGCATTGAAAGCGGCCATTGCCTTAACCATATTACATGGTTGGAAAACCCATCTAACTCCAAACCTTTTCAGAATCCTTCATCCCATAATTCAAATCAATCTGCATGTACAACTTACATAACTTCGCCCAGCGATTGAAAATTATGAAACAACTTCTCATAGAGACTTTACAGAAACACCGGGTCTATTCGTACCTTCAACGGTTTGCCTAATCCAGAGAAAGCTATGGCCTTGTAAAATGTCACCACCGGACGTAGATCTTCTGACTTGTATGTCTCATATGTGTTACACAATTGCTGAAATATGAAAAATACGAATGCAGCATCAACAGTTTTTTCGTGAACAAAATCGAGTAGTTTTTTTTTGAGAAAGAATGTTGTCCAATAAAAACGTGGTGAATCGATGTCAGCAAACCACCCGAATTAAGAAGTTATTTCACTAGCATTCTAGTTTTCCATGCCTTTTTTAATGGCATAGAGACATGCTTAAGCTGAACTACCGCAGTTCTTGCGGTTAGAACGAAACTGTCCCTTTGTGCAGAAGCAAAACAGGTTTATATAGAATTGCAGCAGGTGTTCGAGCAGATAGACGAATTCCATCCAAAGAAGCAGCAACGATCAGTAATATCGTTTTGGTAATCTCCGAATGATTTTGGAATGCTGCATCACAAACTTTGACATACCAATTCGAGTTATTCCACTCCCCATTTTTGCTCCATTTCAATGGTAGTTAAGATAAAATGATGAAGATCTTCACACCGTTTGGTAACTATGCACACCCTTTAGGTTATCAGCTAAAGTATAAGCCTACATGTAACCGTAATAGTAAGTTCATAAAAATAGTGAGCCGACGAAACGAAATATGGGGCCGCTTTCATAGTACACGTTTTGGCCCGCGAGCGAGCGACCGATCGAGCGACTGGGGCGGCGCTTGCCCTTCATAACTGAATATAGATCGATTCCGCGGGCGAGCGCCGCTCCAATCGCTCGACCGCTCGCTCACTCACTCGCGGGCCAAATCGTGGACTATGATAGCAGCCTAACATGAAAAGGTCCGCTGAGTTAACGACAAGGAGTCGCTCCCCCTGGTTACATGTAACCGATAACAGAAACAGGAAGGAATAATTCGGACTATTTGCTTTTTCACTAAGCTGATAGATTCTATAAGGATGGAAGTTAACTAATGAACGGATGGGAACCGGTATACAGAAAAAAAAACATCAGCGAAACAAAACCTATATCATAGAAATATGATGTGGCATACCATCAGAGCTAAATATCTATCATGGTTTGCTAAGCTCCTCGCCAGTAACGCATGAGTTGACTTAGGGGACAGAATTTGTAGTGATGCCTAAAATGTGAGATAATAAATACAAAAATGGATCGGATTTTCCGAAAACATCACCTTGACGACAGAACTTAGAAATTCGTTGAAGTGTGGAAGATTACTGTTCTCATCGGGATCTCCAATTTGAGCTGTTTCGCAAACTAAATCAACACCATCGCCGGCCATAAACCAGCTACAAAGTGATGCCTGCGCATTATCCCTAAAATAATACAAAAGGATAATCGCGACGCAGCTGTACCACAGATAACCATAGGCACAACCTTAAAACTGAAAATAAGAGCTCACCTTGATAGCCTCAAGGACAGCTGAGTATTGAAAAGAGAGTAGAGAGAAATGAAATTACTAAACTCGTCTTCAAGGTTAGCAAAGTCGAAAAAATGGTAATCAAAACGAGCCTGGAACAAAGTGAGAATCAGAACCTAAGCCCTAAAAACGACTATTAAGCTCAGAAGCAACTAACAGTGCCTGCTTCGTAAAGTTGAATAACAGCTAGTAAATTTTTCGCAATTTTCAATCTTTGGTGGACAACATGGCGTAGCGTTGACGAGATCAACCCACAAACGAAGGACCCATTAAACATGTTCGTAGCTTCCGTGAATGTTGGACCTAGGTATAGAGTTTATGCCATTCTCACACGGACAAGAGCAGTGAGTGTCTACAGCATGGTAAGGCTAACTTCTAGAGGGATCAGAGCAAATAACGTCTTTCAGGAAAATATCCAAGATTGAACTCCACTTCTTCGCTATCTGTAATAGCAAAACTTATAATAATTTAAAAGGAAAACCATGAAAAACAAGGCTGAAAATCTGACGGCGAAATCGGAAATCTAATAGCTTGTTTATTTCGGCAACAAAAAAAGCAAGATGAGGATGGATTCGCCTAGCCAGTTATCCCCTTCGTTCCTGACCACATTTGACCACCCATCTCACTTTGGGATGCTGCGTCCCTGAGCATACCAACTTACCAGTTCTGCCCGCATTGTCTTGCATCTGTGAGCAGGTCCATTTATTATCTCATTTTCATCAGCTACCATGCCATCTTCTTCCTAAAAAAGCTAAGAGTTCCAAATCTGGTTCTGATAAAAAATTTCAAATTTCTTTAATTACTTATGCAGCTTGGTTTTGCATATTTCTCTATTTAACACCTCATGGGAAATTCATCATCTTAATTTTTGGCTTGACGGCAGCGCTGTTGTGCCATGCGTCGGTTTTGAACGCCTTACTGGCATGCCCAACAGATACCACGACGGTTTGACTTAGTAACCCTTCAACAACTCTGTTACAGGTTCGCACACCCAATTCCAAAGAAGTCTTAACAATTGTTGACAGCATACAGGGATAGCAGGAACAAAAAACAAACTTTTGCTGCAGCTCTATCTATGGCTACGGTGAGAATCTTCTTCATATCTCCAGAAGTATCTGATTCCATTTCGTCGATCAATTTTGATTCTCCACTCAGTATCACAGAGAAACGGTCCTGTAAGAAACAGAAATGAAATTTCAGATCAAGACATCAGAAAGGAAGAGGCGAAATCGAATAAAATGATAAAAGAAGAAACTG